GGCTGTTTCCAAGAGACCCCCTGCTCAACCTGCACAAAAATATGGTAGGGAACACAATATAACAGGGTAACAGGATATAACAGGATATAACAGGATATAACAGGATAAAGCACCAAGTACAATGAAATGAAAGTCCAGCAAGCAAAAGTAGAAGATTCCAATCAAACACAACACACTACAAAAACCTCTGCAGCACCGCGCTCCTAACCAGCTACTTTAATCCTAGTCCGCCAAAGGTTCCTATCTAAAGCCATATCCTCAGTCAGGGTGAGAAGTCTTAAATCCTGCCTAATCACCTCCTTCCAATTCTTAATAATAATAATTAATATTATTATTATTATTGTTGTTGTTGGTGGTGGTGGTGGTGGTGGTAGTGGTGGTGTTATCACGTTATCTAAATGATTGTCTTTAAAATAATAAAAAATTACGAATATTATTTCTCATACATAAAAAAGATGATGTTATTTGATAAACAAACTAAAGATGCAATGAAACAGTTTAGAGATGAACTAGCACTTAATATCCTACAATGTAGTTACATTTAATTGAAGGTACTATTTACGAACTATAGTATTTACAATATGATTATGATGAGAATAATTGGATTATTTATATTTATATGCACACTATTTTACATATTAGAGACACTAAAAAGTAAATCAAATAAATGAAACCATAACTTATTTTTGTTAGTTGTATTTTAATTATTGGGGATGTTATTTGTTAGTTGAATTTCCATTTTGCACTTCTTGGGTCTTTTTTTCTTTTTCAAAATGTAGTTTTCTCTTGGTTTTCATAATGTAGTACTCCCCACCACATTCCATATTTTATATTTTAGATTAAAATATTGATGTTTACCTTATATAAATTTAGATTAAAAAATATTCTATATAACTATTTAACCATAATTTTTTAAATAGTTTCCTAATTTTTCATGTAGATTAATATAAAAAAAATGGTATTATTCATATTAAAAAGTTGAAGAAAAAAATAATGAATGTAAATCATAAAAATAGTGAGTTGAAAAAATGAAATAATTTATAAACTATAGTTATGAACATAAAAGTTGTAAGTAAAAAAAATTGTAATAATAATAATAATAATAATAATAATAATAATAATAATAATAATATATTTTTTAGAGTGATTTGTCAGAAAGTAGAAAGAATTTGAAGAAAATAAATATAGTTGGAAGAAAATAGAAGAAACTAGAAAAAACTGGAAAAAACTGGAAGAAACTGGAAGGAACTGGAAGAAACTGGAAGAAATTGGAAAGAACTGGAAAGAACTGGAAGTTAAGAGTTCAAGTCCTAAAGAACAGGCCCTAAGTATACTGTAAATATTGCGTAAAGCTGGTGATGCCTTCTTCCCCAAACCTTTGTTTGTTTTGGGGATTTCGGAGGGGAGGGCAAAGAGGAGGGATGATATTTAATTTATTGAGTTTTTTCTTACATTTAAGATGGTTGAAAAGAGAGTACAACAACAACAGACCCAGTAAAATCCCACAAAAGAGAAGAGAGTGAAGATGAAAAAATGTATAGAAATGCATGATGTAACTAAACATAAACGGAGTAGTTAGGTATTCCTACATATTTAACAGAGTAAATTCTATAATTGGTCCTTTATAACAGGGGGGTTTCCCTATTTAGTCCTCTATTATCAAATATTACCCCAGTGGTCCTTCTTTTATGGGTACCTTTCCACAAATAGTCCTTTTTTTGATCTTCTATCATGTTGGTGTTAATTTGAGGGCTAAAAGTGTAATTTCACAATGACAATATATCTTTTTTGTCATACACAATTCCAAAGGCTATTCCGTTTGCGTCGTTTGTAAATTACAGTCGCTTTTTACGACAATGATATTCTATAAATGTGATCTTTCGTCAGAATCCTAGCCCACAATCATAGTCATTATTTTTTTGTTATCCGCTTAACCAATATCAGAACACGTCACTAGACATAATGTTGATGTCAAATTATACTTTTAGCCTTTAAATTAACACCAACACGGCAGAAGATCAAAAAAGGACCATTTGTGGAAAGGTACCCTTAAAAAAAGGGCTACGTGAGTAATATTTGATAATAAAGGACTAAATATGGAAACCCCCTGTTATAAAGGACCAATTATGGAATTTACTCTATTTAACAAAAGAACGTGTCAACCAAAAAATTGCCAAACAAATTTTAATTATAGCCTCTTGATGAAACCATTTACTTTTTTTGAAGTGAGAAAACCATTCAACTAACCCTACATATCAAGTTATTAACACATGTTACATATTATTTTCTTCTTGCAGGATTATTCTAAAGAACAGAAATTCCCAATTACTCTTAAATATATAGGTTGAATATCTATTCCAAACATTTTTCTGCGGTTTTGCTCTTTGCGAAAGCTTTTTTTTTTGTACTGAATAAATAGATCATATATTGCAGATCCAACTTATATGATCAGAGCCATCCCAAGTAATGCATCTGACAATGTGTACTGCACTTTGCTGGCTCAAAGTACTGTGCATGGAGCCATGGCTGGGTTTACGGGCTTCACTTGTGGCCTCGTTAATGGCCGCCACACTTACATTCCCTTCAATGTGAGTTTTAAATGATATGTACTTAAACCCCTTGTCTGGTTGGTAAATTTTCCTTGGATCACGAAAAATGCTAGGGAAAGAAAAACAAAAGGTAGGACAATAACAACAAGCAAACCCAATAGAATCCCATAGAAGTGGGGTCTAGAGAGAATGCGTGTATGCAGACCTTATCTCTACTAGGAAGTAGATAGGTTGCTTCGAAGAGACACTTGGCTAAAAAAAGCATCGATAGAGTAAATTAAAGTCAAGTAAAATAAAGTAAGCACAATAGCACGAAGCCACGAACAAGGTTACGGAGTGTATGATACACATTTCACTCATTTATTTCTTTGCATATATTTAGATCATATGCACATTATAAATTGATGTATGCACATTTAATAATTACACGATGCTCATTTCGTGGTTAAAAGTTTTTTTTTTCATTAAGTTGCTAATAACACTCTCAATCCATAAGAAATAAAAATGAAGTCACAGGAAAATGCACACTTTTTTTATAACTCAGAGCATGCACATTATAAAACTACGTATGCACATTCACAAGCTCCTCCGTAGTACATAATACTAATTGGGCTTAGGAAAGTAAATATATCCCGATGTACGATATAATTTTTTTAAGATAAGGGTTGTGCTTAATCAGAGATTCTTACATTGCAGCGCATTATAGAGCGGCAAAACAAGGTTGTGATCACCGACCGGATGTGGGCCCGTCTTCTTTCTTCGACCAACCAGCCAAGTTTCTTGTGTCTCAAGGATGGGGAAAACGCAAACTCGACAGGAGAAGAAGGAGAAGAAGAAGTGCAAAGGCTGCAGGGGTTGATTGTGGAGGATAACGGCAAGACGCCCGGCCTCTAAAGGTACAAAAATACCCCTATTAAACCAGAGGCATATACAGTAAGTAGTAAAGTATATAATCACAATAATAGTGTGAAATAAACCACTGTAAATTGTAAAATACGTAGCTCTTCATATGCTTCTGCTGCTTGCTATGAAGAGGTTTCTGTGTATAATAGTGGAAAATAAATAAATAAATAAATAAATTTGTTTATATTAGAATAAATGACCTCCCTCTTGTAGGACCTGTTTGGATGAGGCTTTTATTCATTTTTTGGGTATTTGTTAGTAATTTAATATTTGTAACTGAAATGCTCATATAATCGAGGGTGATGCCATACATATTTCGTGTAGTTTTACCTTCTGTGTATTTGACAATGAGCACAATTTTTTGCATCTATCATTATATTTCATTCGTCCACAATATTACTACCTTCGTCCCGGAATATTTGTCCAGTTTTGATTTTTTCTAGTCAATTATTTTTAACCTTTGACCTATAATTAAATAAAATATATACTCGGTATTTTATAATTAGATAAAATAATATTTTGGAAATATTTTATATAATAAATCTAATAAAACTATTTTGTATCAATATATAATAGTAGTATTTTTATTTAATTTAGGGTCAAAGTTTATCAATTTTGATCGAAAAAGTCAAAAGTGAACAAACATTCCGGGACAAAGGGAGTATCTTCGCATTATATTTGGCTTTTTGCAGTTTCCAAAAGTTAACATTATGATTATTAATATATCTATTTATATGAAGATATACGATGAGTAGATAATAAAAAATTATATCTCAAAATAGATCTACTAATGTTAAATTTATGCTATAATGACATAATACAATGTATTTTTTCTAGGTAAGTTTAAAGTTCAAAAAACATGGACAAAAGAAAGTCAAATAAAATAATTACAGAGGGAATTGTTTTTTCCTTAAAAAAATGCTTTCATGTTTTTGATTGACAAAGTAGAGACCCATTGTTTGCCCATCTCTCGACAAAATTACTTTTGTCAAATTAGAATTTATAATATTGAGTTCAAAATCTTAAAATGTAATTTTATAGGAATTAGAACTGGAAAATTGACCCTTAACATTCGAAAAAAAACATTTTTCTTACTATTTATTTGAATAATGATGATAATAATAGTAACAATTATACTCGGGTAATAATTACTACGTACTACCTCCGTCCCGATTTAAATTGCCTGTTTTCCTTTTTCGTCCGTCCCAAAATAAATTGCCTGTTTCTATTTTTGGTAAGATTTTATAAACAAACTTCCTAAAATACCCTTCTTTCCATTTACATCTCCCACCCACCCCTCAACCCATTTTCCCATTTACGTCTCAAATCTTATCTGTTCCTGTGAAGCTCCCACCTTCTCAAATCTTCTTAGTTCCTGTGAAGCTCAACAGTAAACCTTATCTCGCTCCTCGCCTGCACTTTAATTTCGATCTCTCGCTCCTCCACCTTCTCAAATCTATGTTCTTCTTCTTCGTTCATTGTTGAATTCGGATCTAAACTTAGATCTCAACTGTGTTAGATCTACGAAACTTAGATCTAAACTTAGATCTAAGGGACATCTGATCCTTTTCGACATCTAAGGTTAGTAGGTCTGGATTTTTATTTAATTCTTTTAAATTTATCATATTTAATCAATTAATTTATGTATTCTTGCCCTTTGTTACAGATCGAAGGCATGGATGAACATAGTGAAGAAAATGATTTCTCATCTGTTTATAGCACTCCAGATTCATATGAATCGGAGCTTGAAGCTGTTTTTGATGAGATTCGCATTGAAAAACAGTTGTCAATGGTGCGAGAGAAGCTTGAGGCGTATTATACTAATGTCCCTGTTGCTAATACAGCCCCCCTTGCTAGTACAGAGGATGTGGATGTTGAGGATGTGGAGGATGATGATGACACAGATTCTGACTCCTACATTTACGAAGAAGGGGATGATGTTCTATGGGAGTTGTTATTCTCGGATCCAAAGATGCGCCACAAGGACTTCTAGGGGAGTATTCCTCTCTTTCTTATGTGCGTAGAATATTTTTATTAAGTGCCTCCTTTGCATTACTCTATAGTTCAGATTATATGGGAAACTAATGATGATAGTTTGCACTCGAATGTGATGCGTGGACTATGTGCTTGGTGTTTGTAACCTTTATGGTCATTTAGGGCAGTGTTTGTGATGCTTTTATAATTTTTTTTGGGACTTCAGCCACCCACACATGATTAGTGCATGAGGTAACATTTATGTATCCTCCCACTGTATCTTGTGTGTTTGGAGGTTTTAGAAAGAGGGCATCCATTTACAGAATAACCGCAAACATGTTCATTATCCATATATACATCCAAAATCCAAAAAATGTTTGCATACATTGGCTGTCCATACACACTGCCAAAAAAGAAACAAAAAAAGTGCATATGATGAACATAGTAAACAAAAGACATTTGAAAGACGATATCACTTAGATTGTTCCTGATGCACTCCCTTCCCCATTTCTACATTGGACACCTTGTAAGGCATACAGACTTGACTCATAAAGTTCTGCATTTACATCCAGTTGGTTTGGCAGTGTACCTTCTCTCTCAAGTCTGCCCTTACCTATGTGTGCCAATTTATAGTTATTGCCTCCTTGTACTTTCAAAATCTCTATCATTGCTAACTGGTAACTGATCCATACATTATTCAGTTTCTTAGCATCCAAATTAGCATATGCTTCTGCCACATGTTGTACCAATTCATCCACATTTTTAGAGGTTGTCTGGTGTTGCAATGATTGTATTGATGCAAAAAACCCCAAGTCTAAAATGTTTAAATCTGGTGAGTTTGGTGGCTGACATGTAAGCTCAATGTTGTAACCACCTACATTGGCTGCTTGCACAAACTCCATGTCATCCACAGCAATATGAGGCTTTGCATTATCCTGCTGTATGATTATGTGTTTTCTAAGTGCATCTGATACTTTTTCCTTGATTGCTGGCAGGACTTTATGAATCATAAGTGCTCTGTACACCTCTTTGGTTATTTTGGGTATGGGTTTGGTCTCTAAAGTTCCTGCTACCCTATTTTTACTACTCCTCTGTGCAGGAACTTGAATTGTTAGAGGCCAAATTCCAACTTTCCCATCCCAAATAACCTCCCCCTCGGGACCAAAGACAGGCCTGCCTACTACACACAAGTGCATTAGTTTAGGAATGTGTGTCTTACTTTTAGCTGTCCTATGGGGCTCTCTTTCTCTCTCAGTCTTATACACTCTGAGGGATTGTTTGGACATTTCAAACCATTTCTCATCCACATGAATTGTACAGGAGAAATCTTTAAACAAGGGTGAGTGGGGAAGGGTTTCTGGAATCAACTAATTTAACACGAAAGCTAACCTTTTCAGCTTGTTTTCCTCTGTTAGGAAAGGCTTTATAGCATTCGTGTGACTTTGTAGTTGCCCTCCTTGTATGCACCTATGTAGTGTGGATTTCGGTACTTGTATAGCAGCAGGTAAAGAACGTATGTTAGTTCTTCTGTGAAATGGAATGCCCTCAATCTGTTCCAAATTCAAACAGACCCTTTTTCTACCAACAACTCCTCTTCTGTTGTTACTTGCATCTAACACCGACCCGTCCATGAGTTGGTTACGACAATTACGCCAAAGAGAACTGACTGTTCTCCTGCACAAGTTAAAGTCGTTCATGATTTCTTTAATTGTGTCGTGCTGAAGTTTCCCTTTGCTTGACTTGTGTAGCAAGATGTCTAGGATAATTCGCCTTTCCACGTCGTTCAGATTTCTTTTGCTTTGTTTGATAGGAACACTGACTTCTTCTTCTTCTTCTTCTTCTTGGACAGGTGCACTGCTGGAGGTGTGTGGGTGAAGACATGGAGTGGAATGAAGAACTGAAGATGCCATGGCAGCATCTCTGTTCATGTTGTGGAATGAAGAATTGAAGAACTGGAGAGATTTTTTTTTTGCAGGATGTACTCCTTGAGTGTGCAGGATGTAGTCCTTAAATATTGTTTGCATTTGTGTAATTAAATGGAGGGAAATTTTCCCTCCAAGACAAAGATGTGATGTGTTGATGTGTTTGGTGTTAGATTAGATATTTGTAATGATTATTGTACTTGCAATGCTTGTTTGTGTTTTTTACTCCAGAAGTGGCGGTTTCCATATTCTTATTTGTGTTCTTTACTCTTTTTTTATTATCAAAAACACAAAAACTGCATAGAGGGGCAATTTTGGAAGGTCAATGCCATTTTTTCCAATCCTTAAATATACCCCAAAGTCAAAACGGGCGATATAAATCGGGACGGAGGGAGTACATTATTTTTCAGGCTACATATTGATGATACATGAGAGCAGTAATTTGAGTATAAGGAAGGACAGGGCTAATACTCAATTAAGAATCCTTCAAAACAAAACAATCTCATCCTCATTGACTACATTTCTTCTTTGAACCCTTTGGTAGAAAATAAGGCTGGAGAAACAACGGGATTACAAACGCGACTCCCAAACACAGCACTGCCAACACGACAACGTACCACGCTTTCTCTGGAATGCCCAAATATAGTTCATCACAAACTGCAATGTCATTCATATATATTACTCCGTAAATCAGAAAACGGACATTAATTCTTCTAAACAAAACTCGCTCAAAAGAAATGAATTGATGGCGTAATAATCAGATAATGTGTCCTCATTCACGATTTCTGGGCTATAAAATGAATTGGGTATATCGGGACTCACTCACTATAGGCATTTAGCCTGTTCTCAAAATACACATCATGAATTAATCCATCTATCAAAGCACTCGCAGATTCGTAATTTACAACAGAGTCATTTAGTTTCGAGTACCTATATTAAACATGATGAATTCTCTTTCCTGCACTCCGGGCATTGCAACAACCCCCTCAGGCTCCACTGTTACCAGAACAAACATACCATCCTGCACAAAACTACTTCACTTAGACCATCAGTTAAGGTAAAAAGAGGGTGTCAATGCGAAGCATAGTCATATACACATCTTTAACATTATTTCATCCCCAAAAAAATTGTCATGGTTGGCTAATGTACAACTTCTTGCCCTGAAAAGTTGTGTTTGAGTAATGCACAATTTTTAAATTTTGGTGACATGCAGTTGTCATAAATCACGAATTACGTGTGTTTTTAGAATTTGGTTGTTGGTTAAACCAAGCCTACCATATGTAACTTATACATGATTTTTTTTTGGAAACTATACAAACATATTAGTGTCATTCGCCTTTTTTGGCACAAAAAAAATGTTTGGAACACCGCTCTTTTTCTGGGACAGATGGATTAGTTTAAAACTACCTCCATCTCGAGATGAAGTTCTTCTTGCATTTCATTAAAAAAAACTAAATCAAAAGTTCTACAAAGCAAGAGGTGATGGGACTATATTTTTTTATCAAACGCGTAATGTGGCAGAGGAAGAGTACTTGCCTGATCATTGAGAATGTCGGAGCTTCCAGTCTTGAAAATTATTTTTTCAGTGTTCAGTAACTTTCTCCCTTGATTTAGCTCCATCTCTGAACCACCTTTCTTCAGTTGTAATAAAAAAGTGGCTGGAATCTGTTATTCATTAAACAGAATAATTAAGCTTCGAAAAGATGAAACTGAAAAATGGACAAAATGGATGGTATTATAATTAGACATACATACAGAAGCGGGATAAGATATCTTCACTTCATACCATGTGTGGGACTTCAGTCCTTGCAAATGGTATAGACGAGATCCTGACTGTAATGGAATAGTTTCCTTATGGAGTTCCTCCCCAACATGCAATAATTTGGTCTCAATCCTATAGTAAAATTGCTTGATGTTGTACTTTCATTCACTCAACAATAACAACAACAACAACAACAACAAACCCAGTAAAATCCCACAAAACGTAGGGTGTGGAGAGTGTGTATACACAAACTTTACCCCTACTATGAAGTGGAGAGAATGTTTCCAAGAGACCCCCGGCTCAAATACAAAAGCAATCACCACGAACGAATTTTAACAAGACACGACATCAATTTTATGCCATCAAACAAATACTACTCCCTTGGTCCCAAAAAAAGGTCTTCTATGTTATCAAACATAGTAATAAACGCTTTCGTAGACGTTTTGATGTAGTTTTTCAAATATATGAATTTTGAATTTTTAAAAAATCTTCCAATTCCCAAATAAACTGAGTTGAAAATAGTTTCAATCAAACATTGTAAAAATCGTAACAAGAACTTCTTTGAGGAACAAAGTGAAGATGAGTTTTGAGATGAATGAAAGGAAGCACTCACTTACTCCCATGAATCATTACTGGACCAATGAAGATATAACTGATAATGGATATCAACCCAAGGACAAGCTTTCTACAATGGCAGAGCATTTCCAAATGATAACTCATCAATCTATTAGAACTTGACCTGGAAAAACACAAACAGACAACATTTAAGTGTGGAGATGAAAATCAAACCAAACATTAAACAACCCTAGTGCCCATACTAGACTAAGGGTCGGGTTTTTTAGTTGATCGCACTTTACCTCGTTCTTTTGGCCTAATTACTACTTCTGAAAGCCTGTGTGGGGCCTGAAGAAGAGCAGAGGCCGGATCTGGAACGGCGCAGAAGCTTCTTCCTTCTTATTCCTACGCCGCCGTCGCCGGAACGCTGCTGCAACTGTGGTGGAGAAGGGGACGGTGATGGAGCCTTCGCTCTGCAATGCAGCGGAGATGGGGATGGGAGGAAAACGAAGGAGATACTTATTCCTTATTTCTTATCAAAATTTATTTCAAATGATGAGATTAGATCAATTCAAACTAATTCAGAGATTCAAATTGATTCATTCAGATCAAAATAATAATTTGAAAATAATAATAATAAGAACTACAATAATAACAATAGTAATTATTATTATTAGTATTAATAATAATAATGAATAATAATAATAAGTTTTTATCATTGTAGTAATTAATATTAATAATTAAATAATAATAATCATTATTATTAACTAATAATAATGATATAATTACAATAATAATTAGTAATATTATCATTATTAGTTAATAATAATAATAAGTCATAATAATAACAATAATTTATTATCATCGCACTTAATAATAAAAATAATAGTAATTAATAATAATAATGATGAAATGATAATAATCATTATTATTAACACATAGAGTCAGTATCATTCAAAAAGATGATTATAAAAAAATTAACATTTTATCAAACATATTAAATAATACGTGAAATAATTTCAATAGTAAATAAATAAAACAAATATTTCAAAAGTGGAAAAGCAAAATACTGAATGAACTATGTTGAATATCATATATAATAAAACTATAATATTACAAATAGTTTACCTTTATATTCTATTTGAATAATTTAACTTTTCTTTTAGAATTAATTTTTTTGAACGAGAACACAATTTTTTTTACCCGACACACTTTTAGTTTACAAGAACCTTTTATATTTTTATTCAAAAAGAAAATCTAAAATAAAAAATTGAAACATAGAAAAATGAAATGAAAAAAATTAAAACATGCAAAGAAGAGTCTTATACAAAAGAAATTTTAGGAATGTCTAATGTTTGGAAACCTGGATTTGGATTTCAAATCTGGATTTGGCTCAAATTCTATGTTTTGGAAACTTAAAAATTTTGAATTTGGATTCGAGTCAAATTCTCCTCATTCATAACATAGTTTAATTTAAAATTCATGCACATCCCCTTGTCATTTGAAATTTAAGATTTTAAATTTTGGAATTGAAATGCATGAATTGAAATGAAATGCTAGTTGTCAAACACTACCTAAAAGTCTTTAGAATTGGGATGTCCAAAAAGGATATTCATTTTTATTTTTTATTTTATTTTATTTCTTATTTTATTCCTCATTTTTTGAAGTTCTTAAAAAAATCACTTTTTTTTTGGAAAATAAAAACAAAAATTGTTATGAGAAGTACAAATGCAGTAAATGTTAATTTTTCCAAACAAAAATAATTTTTAATTTTAAGAATACTATAAAAATAATTTTAAAACTTTGATTAATAAAAAAAATAAAGGAAGAAATGGAAAAACAAAAATTAAACGAGAAATAAAAAACGAGCACTTGTACTCTATATAGTTTAGACAATATGCTTTAATATCCCCTTCTTTAATTTTAAGAACATTATAAAAGTAATTTTAAAACTTTTGATTAATAAAAGAGAAATTAAAGGAAAAATGAAAAAACAAAAATTAAACGAGAAACAAAAAAAGAGAACTAGTACTCCATATAGTTTAGAAAATATGCATTAATGCCCCTTTCTTTGTCGAAAAAATGACTGAAAAATGATTAGAGGAGGTATGAGTGTAACGTTTTGAAATCACTAAGATCTTAGAATTAAGTTTTGAAAATAGAACTAATGCCTATTTTAGTGCTATTTAGTCATTATTGTCAGTAATTTGTGGAATACTGATTTTATTTAGCTATTATTATTACTAATTTGTGATTAAAATTCAATTTACATTTACATCGTTTTTTCTTTTTTTTAAAAAAATCTGGAGGTGGGATGTTTTTTTTGGTGCAACGGAGGAGGGAGAGAAATGTTTCCCACTTTTCCCCTCCACATTTTTCTGTAGGTCGCGGGCGAAATTGCTAAGAGCTCAGCTCCGCTTCAGCCACGACAATGGTGAGTTGCGAGTTTTTGGTTAATTTCAGCTAATTCCTGTGCAGTATTATAATCTTCCGCTTTCCCTTATCTCTCTTTTATAATAATAAATTTCAATTTTCGAATTTGCAGTTTTCAATCGCGGCTATCAACGATCCAGATTCTAAGAGCCAATGGGAGCCCCTAGCCCCAACGAAAGAAGCACAGGCAAAACACTATGCTCTTTCTGCATAATCACTGCTTATATTTCTATGTGAATCCAAACATTTGCAAAGTGTTTTGTATTTATTTATTTTTTGCTATTGCGTTTATGCTATAATTGTACTGTAGTTTTTGTCCTCGAATGCTGTCTAAATTCCTACTGGGCCACTGAGGTGTCCCAGGTTTGTATCCTGCAAATTCTACTAGTGCAACATATTCTATTTAAAATTCAATGGGGGAAAAGTGTTTCCCCTGGAGATAGGGGTCATATTCCATAAGATGGATCACCACTGGGAGAGCTGAGTTCAATGGGGAAAAAATCTGTTCCTTTTAGGGGAAAAGTGCATGGTGGTAAAAAAAGCTCAACTCTTACCCGTTAGTCTGCATATCTCTTACGATTTCATGATATGCCTGAGAAGTTGACAAAAATGTTAAATGTTCATGATCAAGTTTTTTCTAACAACAACCCATTATAATCCCAACCCCGTTGTGTCTTGGACAAAAATGTTATGTTCAGATGCATTATTGAATTTACTATCCCATACTTCACGGAGAGTAAGAAGCAAGAGAAGTGTAATGTGCCATTTCGATTTAGTCTATTATTTTCCATACCCCAAAATATTGTCAATAATGACTCTTTTAGCTCCATTTTGATTTAGTTTTGAGTCGGAAGTCTTTTGAAAACAATCTCTGTATTTTCTACCTATGAGTAAGGTCTGCGTACACTCACCTTGCCCTATAATTTTCTTTCTATCCCCATTTTAGTGCCAATTGAAAGCCATTTAGGACTAAAATTTTCCCAATTGACCCATACAAGCTACTTATCAGTAACATCATCTTTGTTATTGCAGCGAAACAAATAAACATTTACTACTCTGGCTAGAGTTAAAGAAGGGAAAATACAAGTATTTAACAGATGCGAATACAATTATTCATGAAATGCTTTAGCTTTGCCTTTGTAAACGACAGTGTTGTCATAAACTTCTAGCCTAAGTTCCTCCAACTTTTGTGGCTGGAGTTCCTCTACCATTTTAATGGCCTAAAATAATTTATGTTCCAGCTCCGCTAAGAGGTGACATGCTTTGCCAAGAACTATCCTATAAGGTGACATGCCTTAAGGAGTTTTGTAGGCAGTCCAATTAGCTCAAGGATTCATCAAATTGTTTACTCCAACATTTCCTATCGTGCCATGGGACTTTTTCTAAAATTCCTTAGATTTCTTTGTTAGAATTTTTTTGCCTATCCAATTGTTTGTGGGTGGTATCCCTGTTACTTATAAAAGCTTTAGGGAAGCCATATCTATTCGAAATCATTGACTGGGTATAGGTCACAACAATTTGAGCATCATCTTTCTTAGTCGCTACTAGATTTACCCATAAAAAATAAACAAACACGATAAGTTTCCACAGAAAGTAAGGTTTAGGGAGGGTGTGTTGGGGAGGGTATGTGTACACATGCTTTACCCTATTCAAGAACCTGGTTAAAAAATGGATATCTGTCAATCAAGTGGAAACCCCACTATGTGGGATTTTTTTACCGGGGTTGTTGTTGGTTGTTGGGGTGCAAACCCCATCTCGCACTATAGAGAGAAGAAAGGTGAGACCTAAATAAATATGTTAACCCAACTATTAGTATGAGACCTTTTGGTAGGTACCCAAAAATAAATCCGTGAGGGCTTAGCCTAGAGCGGACAATATCATACTAATGCAGGGTTGGGGTAGGTATGCATGTTCGCAACATGTGGTATCACAACCAAGTTTCAGAGAGGCGGAGTGGTAGACCAACGTGTATGGAGTTCTTAGAGTGACAGTGGCCAACAGGAGAGGGACGAGAGAATAGAGGTTCCGGGTGTTGTGCGGGGAGTCCACGGCGTGATGGTGTGTCAACGGGAGTAGGTGGATGATGCCTGGTGTTGTGTGGAGGGCTGCGGATGGTGCCTTCTGTTATGCAGAGTTAACAATGTAGACACTGAACCAGAAGGTGATCTCGGGGCTAGTGGAGTGGAAATCCGAAGTAATACCTTGTGTCGAAAGGCTTCCCGACAAGAAAAATGGTCGGGCAGGCGGCGTGTCCCGCGGGTTGTTGTGGCTGTGCAAGATGGTGGTAGATAAAAAACAAATAGACGCTTGAGGGGAGGTCACGGGATTGTGTGGTTTGGGTTTGAGGGGAGGTTTGTTAGGGTGCAAACCCCATCTCGCACTGCAGAGAAAAAGGAAGGAGAGACCTAAATAACTAGGTTAACCTAACTCCATTAGTATGAGGCCTTTTGGGAGGTGCCCAAAAACAAGTTCGTGAAGGCTTGACCTAGATTGAATAATATCATATTAATGCGAGGTTGGAATCAACTTTTTTCTAAGGAAAACATAAAATCTAAAACATTTTTTTCCACTGCAACATTAACCTCTAAATATTTCGTGGGCCTTTATTCAAGGAGGGACACTCATTAACTAGAATAATGAAAATAAGAAGGGTTCTGAGAGAAAAATGGATATGGTTAGACTCTCAGAGTGATTATGATGAAAATATACTTGTTCTTGTGTGCCATGTGTTTATAGAGCTTGTTTTCATAATCTCCCTTTAACCTTTCATGTTGTTATCATTTTTGGGATGTTGTTCTTTTACTCCACAAATTTTATTTGTATCATTGACTTGCTGTCTCAGGAATTTCATCTTTCACAAACGTATCATGAAGGACTTCTAAAGTTACAAGCTAAAGAATATGAAAAGGCCCGTGAACTTCTAGAGTCTGTTTTGAAAGACCCTTTAATTGTAATTGACAGGGTATAGTACATAATTGGGGTTTTTATGTCTATAAATTTCTTACCAAATTTCCCAGGATTTCACTTACCAAAATTTGTTTTCCCTACCTTTTACAGGGAAACAGCAGTTCCACCGATGGCC